CTGGCAACTCTAGTCTGTTCTAGGCGCCCTCTTTTTTGTATATAAGCCCGGCAAATAAAGCGGAGATAGAATGGCAGATAGATAAATATAGAGACAGATAATTGAGTCAAGCGAGCGGTAGTGACGGTAATATAAAGTGTGTGAATCGCTGTGAATTATAGCGTGTGTTCATAAAAGTAGTCAAGTTTAAAGTAACTGTGGAAATTCTGTGTATTGCAAAGTTGTATCGAGAAAGAATAAACTAGTTTTAATTAGGAAAGGACTTGTATCACCAAAAAACACCACAACGGAACACAAGGCATCATCGACCTCGCAACAGTCCCACCAGCAGTAATACACCTCACTAGTAATTTTAAAGTACACGAAAATATCGGAGGGGACCATAATCATCTTTCATTTAAAATCAGTACCCGAATTGGTCAATACCTAACAGTCAAATCCAGCACCACTCAAACATCCGAAATTTTAAGAAAGTTAACTGGACCATATTCAATCAATATATTTAGACAACAATTTACCCGACCCCGTAACGTATGCTAACTCCGAAGAGGTTATCGAGTATTACTACCAAAATATCACACAAGCCATAAGCAAAACCATAGACAAGTTAGTTCCGAAAAACTACACTAAAACCACGCCCAGCCACTGATCATTAACTCCCGAAATACATAAACCCATACTATTCAGACGCAAGCTCCATAAAGAATTCATTAACACCAGACACCCTGCTATAAAAACCCAAATCAATTCTATCAAAAACAAAATAGAAAAGCTAATTAAAGTTCAACAACGAGACAATTGGAACTACTTTTTCAACAAGCTCGATAACCTTAAACCAAACCCTTCTACCTTTTGGAAAACTTTTAAAAGCATATGCCGTGAAAATAATGACACTGGCAACATTTCATATGAAGATCTCACAGCCTCTACTGATAAACAAAAATCAGAACTTTTTGCACACTATTTCGAGAAAACATTTGTTACCCCATAGTAAACACTAGGACAAAATCAACTCCTTTATCAACGCTAACACCGCATCCTTTTCCACCTCTTTCCCGGTCAACACACTCCGGCACCACACTTCGAGTTCACCTCAATACATATCTACTCCTATACCCATACCCGAAGTTAAAACTCACCTGAAAAATCTCAAAAATAAATCTCCCGGCGATGACAAAATCCCCAACGTAGTTCTAAAAAACGCATCCCAAAACTTCTGACACATCTCACTAACTTATACAATCTATCTCTTTTCTCGGGTTATCTCTCCAATGCATGGAAGTCAGCACTCATCACGGTTATCCCCAAAAAAGGCACCCAATCATTAAATCCAAGTGATTTCAGATCCATAAGCTTAATTAACTGCACTGGCAAACTTCTAGAGAAAATTATAACGACAATGTTATTATGGATGCTAGAAAACAACAATACATTATCACACATCCAGAATGCAGTTCGCAAAAACAGACAGACTGCAAACCACCTAGTACGATTAATTGAGATCACGTTTACAGGATTTAATAAACTATAGGCCACTATTGCCACTTTCTTAGGCGTACAAAAAAGCTTTTGACACTGTCTGGCACAACGGGCTTAAGTACAAATTAATAAAGCAAAAAATACCTACGACATTCACAAAATGGATTTCTAACTTCTTAGACAATAGATCTGCGAAAGTTAAAATCAACACTTCAGTCTCACAACCCTTCACGTTTAACGCAGGCATACCGCAGCAGTGGTTGGAGGAGAAAGAAAAGAAACAAGAAGAGAGAATACAGCAGTGGTTGGAGGAGAAAGAAAAGAAACAAGAAGAAAGTCTCCAACAGTTGAAAGAAAGCCAGCACACACAAATGGAAAAGATTAGTAAATTTCAAAGTGAATTAAATACATTAAAGGATGATTTACTGTCTTTTACACAAGGAGGATATATTAGCCATGGACCTAATCAGCCTCAGACAACGTGAAGCTCCTTTCAACTGCAGCTAAACTCTAATGCAAACATCTTCAGTCCTGTCAGAAGCCACATTCCAGACATGAGTGTCAACAATAGGGTTGATCTAATACGAAGGAAGACACAAGAATTCGATGGGAAGGCACCATGGGAAGCATATAGAGCACAATTTGAGCTCCTGGCAGAAA